GTACTCTGTGACCACCGGGTTTCTCAAGTACCACATCAGCTAGCACTGATGTCGATGGAACAAGACACCGGGGCACTGCCATGACGCAGTGCCAGGCCTGTAGGGCGTGCCCGCTCTGTGATACCTCTCCGACGCAGGACTCAGCGACTCAGCAGCAGGACGACTCCAGCGGCATCGAGTACAGCATTGACGGTACCGGGTACCACCGGAGTTCTTCCCGCATGCCCGGTCCAAGGGGCCGGTGAGCCGTTGGCAGATTACCTACAGCGGGTACAGGCATTCACCGATGCCGTAGCAACCGCAAAGGCACAGGAGGAAGCAGAGGCGGAACGTCAACGGCTGGCCAAAGAGGCGGCAGCCCAAGCTCAGCAGACTGCTGAGGATGACGCAGCAGCACGGGACCAACGGAATGCCGCCAGCACGGAATCCCTGATTCATAATGAGAATCAGTGGACAACGATCCTCGACGGCATGATCTTTGTGCCTTCGGAAGAGCAGGCAGATCCGACACCGGCGGAGGCAGAGAGGACTCACCTGGCTAACGTGATGTTGACAATGATGCGAGCGATCATGTGGAACAATACGATGTTAGCAGTACAAATACACGAAGGCAGACAGCTGCAACAGATTCAGCAAGAGGATTTTGCAGCCTTGTCAACAACTGTTCGCACTACCGCCACACATCAGCAACAACAGCAACAGCTGTGGAACACCACCACCGCACATGTCAGCAGCATCGAGGCTAAGGCCGCAGCAGCGCCAGGCTGCACGACAGACGAGACGAAGCAACTCAACGGGCGCATCGATCACGTCGTSAAGCTCATCGGCGACATAGGTGTTTTCAATGGGCCGGACACGATCAGTAGCACGGTAGCCGCCATCAAGACGGACATCACCAAGCTACAAACGAGACCGGACGCCGCGACGAAGAGTTACAAGATGCCACACTTCGACATCAGCAAGTTCGACGACCACAACAATACGGACGCCTTGGCATGGTGGCAACGTTTCCTTACGGAAGCATCCTGCCGCACTGTCCCAGACGACTACATGATGAAGGCGCTATACTTACAGCTGATTGGAGGAGCGCAGGCATGGATGAACCACCTGGCGGCTACCCACACATGCACCATCGCTGAACTTCACACGCACATCACGTGGAAGGAGTTCGAGCAGCTATGGTTCACCTGGTTCATGGTCCGCAACGTTGTGAAGGCGGCCATGAACGAGGTGTACACCTGCTCTCAAGGAAGTATGCCAACTCGAGACTGGATAACCAAGTGGCATAAGATAGTGACCACGCCAGGCTTCGATTTGACTTTTCCAAATTAACAATCCGAGTTCTTCTCGCGATCGTGTGCAGGATTGCGGTCGGCACTCGGCAATGAGTACGACTATACCTCGTTCCAGGCCATCCTGGATCGCGCAAACCTGGTCATCCAAACGGACGACAAGGCCGCTAACGAGAAATAATCCCAGCCGCATTATGTGGCTAAGCAGCATCCTCGAGTGGAGGAATTGTAGCAGCGCTCCCGCCGAAGCGTCCTAAGAGGGTCCGGAAACCCAAGGCGACACAAGAGACGGCATCGACGGGAACTGGGCAGC